ATATATATATATGAATGAAAAACTCATCAATTAGACACGTCAAAATAAAGGGCAAGTGCTGCGCAATTTGTAGGTCTGACTTATTTTATTTTATGTTTTTTTAGTTTATCCACACATGAAAGGATGCTTTTTAACTCAGTGCTCAACACCGATTATCCTGCTGTGCTCTATCAAACGCTTTTAGCAAGTCGATCTGAGCTCTCCGCTTACGGCAATAAGCTGTGAGAAAATTTAYGATACTCTTATTGTAAAATGAACATGGCAAATCATGTAAATACTCCATGTCCTCTTAATGTGTTTGATTTAAATGTTGCAGTTTTTTTTTTTTTTTCCACCGCACACAGTCACCATTAACTTGCTGAGTGGAAGTGCGCACAAGGTCTTTTGGCTCAATCTTGAAGGGATTCCTTTTGTTTGCACACAGTGTGTATGCATCATATTGTAAGAGGGGAAAACAAATCTCATGTTGTAGAAAGAGATTAAAACAAGCAATCCAAGAGGAAGTTGAACCCAATCTGTTTTTTTGTTAAGAAACAAGTGCATCAAAGATGTAACCTTTCCCTTATTATGCACAAGCAGATTGAAATGAGTCAGACTGGAAATAAATCGGACGCAAAATAAAAAAAAAAATGTGGTGTTAATTCGACAAACCTCGTTGCAAGTTGTAATTACATTAAATATGCAGCCCTTTCACAAACCAGTGAATACCACATGGTCTGGAATCAACTTAATATACTTTTTTGTGACATTTCAAGCCTTGTGTGGTTGATATTGCAATCAGGGATATATTAAAAAAGGATCACACACTAATGATGTTTGAAATCTATAGAAATGTCATGTGAATTATAGAGCAGATTTTAAGTCAGTCTCCTCACTCGCGGACTGAATTAAAAATAAATAAATTAAGCTTTTTTGCCTCCATTACTTTCGCCAGATCAAAAGCTCACTTGGGTGTCAGAGGCACCGAGTTCTCTTATCAACATTCAGCTGGAAACACCTGCTTTGGAATAATCAAATTATACTCCAAGGAGTCCACTTCTACGGGGAAAGCTGGACCCTTTGAGTACACAGAGGCTACTGTGCAGAAAATGAGCATTCAAGGCATGCAGCCACAAACCACTCAGAAATTATAACAGCATTAGAGAGGATAAACCAAGACACATGCAATATACTTGTTATTAAGTGACGACGGCATCATTAACCTGCTCAAGTGCATAYGATGGCTTTCATTTTACCTGTCTGAGTAGTGGCGGAAAGTGATTTTTTTCTACGATGTCGTCCTGTTTTCACGTATCAGTGAGGGGATTTTGTATTCCGGCTTTTGTCTTTTCTTGTTGCACATGTTCTGCACTGCCCTTGATGGATGACAGTCCTGTGAAAGGACAGGATGCCGCATCCTATCACAGTGGATRACACTGAACTGCATTACATCAGATTATCTTGTTACACATTACACCACAATGCTATGCATATGCACGAGTTTAATGAAATCCTTGTCGTTTCTGACCCAATAAACAAATTATTATGTAAACTGACWCATTTATGCACTTCAATGTTTTTGGACTAATTAATTTTAACTTGTTTCTGGCTGTATACTTTGCTATTTAAAATATATGTGAGCCATCACATTGAAACGAGGATTAAATCTAAAAGTGGTACATGGATAAATAGGCAAATATAGTGTTTTGATTAAAATGTTAACAAATATTGCGTTTTGTCCAAATATAATGAATAAATGCCTTATCATTTGAATGAATTGTCTGAAATATAATCGTAAAAC